GGTAAAAAATGTGCTTGCAATGTGGGACACCTGGGTTCAATCCCTGGATTGAGAAGATTCCCTGGAGGAGGGAATGGCCACCCACTCCAGTATTCTTACCCGGAGAATCCCCATGGACAGAAGAGCCTGGTGGGCTACAGTCCATGGGGTTGCAAAGTCAGACACGACTCAGTGACTAAGCATAGCACAGGACCTGTAACTTCAATTTCTTCGTTGGTAACCAAAGAGAAAATGCGGGCGAGGGGTAGGATAACTTGGGAGACTGGGAGTGGCAAATAGACACCATTACATATAAGACAGATAACGAACAAGAACCTAGTGTACAGCATCGTGAACTCAGCTCAGTATTCTGTAATGAGCTACATGGGGAGAGTCTCTGACGAAAGAATGGGTATGTGTATATGGAAAACTGAATCACTTTCCTATACACCTGAAGCCAACACAACATAAACAGAGGCTTCCCCGGTGGCTCAGCTGGTAAAGAATCTGCCTGCAATGCAGGAGACCCAGGTTTGATCCCTGGGTCGGGAAGATCCCCTGGAGAAGGGAATGGCTACCCACTTCAGTATTCTTGCCTGGAGAATCCCATGAACAGAGGAGACTGGCGGGCTACAGTCCATGGGGTTGCAGAGAGTCGGACATGACTGAGCAACTAACACATTCACTTTCGTACTCCAATACAAACTAAAAATTAAATTTAAAAAAGAATAGGAAAAGGGGAGTGAGAGAGTCAGAGTCAGAGAAGGAGATATGGCCAGCAGAGAAAAGAGAGTTTGGAGTGAGGCTTCAAGGGTGGGGTGGTATAGCAGGTTGCAAAGCAAAGAATGAAGCTGGCCTCTAAGATCTGGAAAGCCTAGGAAATGGATTCTCTCCTGTAGCCTGGGAAGGAGTGTGCCCTGTTGGCACATTTTTAGACTACTGACCTTCAGAAAAGAAACATAATGAATTTGCGGTCCTTTAAGCCAGCACCTTGGTGATTTGTTACTGCAGGGATGGTAAACAAATAGAGTGGAGATTGGTGACTATGAATGCAAATGAGCTGAAACAGCAGCACTTCAGGTGCACACATTGGGGGCTATGCTTTTGCTCCAGGTATGTTTCTCTTCAGGTTCCTCACCCTCTTCCTCTCTCCTCCTTAATCTTTCTTTCCAAGTTACTTCAGTCTCATCCTCCTTTTCCCTTCTCATCTCCCTGAAAGTAACAGGAGAAGGAGAAGAGAACCGGCACTCAATTAGGGTCACCTAAAGGAGATCAGTCCTGAGTGTTCGTTGGAAGGACTGATGCTGAAGCTGAAACTCCAGTACTTTGGCCACCTGATGAGACGAGAGGACTCATTCGAAAAGACCCTGATGCTGGGAAAGATTGAGGGCATGAGGAGAAGGGGACAATAGAGGACAAGATGGTTGGATGTCATCACTGACTCAATGGACATGAGTTTGGGTAAACTCCGGGAGTTGGTGATGGACAGGGAGGCCTGGCATGCTGCGGTCCATGGGGTCACAAAGAGTTGGACATGACTGAGTGACTGAACTGAACTGAACTGATGTAATAGGCATCATCCTTGGTGATATCAAATGCACAACCTAATTCAATTTTTCAACAACACTTTGAGGAAATGTTTAGCATTTTCCCCTTACAAAGGAAGAAACCAAGTTCTACTAAAGTCAAGTGAGTTGCTTTAGACACACTGAGACATGCTTTTAGACACACCTCAGACTTGTGCCAGTCCTGAGGTTGTTGATCATCCTATGCCTTCCTCATCATGAGCAGCTTCATTTCCATTCTGAACAAAGAGCTGTTGACCTGCATCCTCTGTGTTCAGGATGCTCAGAGCTAGACTAAGCATGGAACTCCATCACCATGGCAACAGTATCACCAGCCTGGGTGGTGCCATGGTACCCTGTAGACCCTGGGTGTCAAGGAGAAATGTTGTACCCCAGAAAGATTCTTCCATCTGTCTAAAGATATCCATCTGCTCAGAATAGCAAATAGCTCATTGCACTCCTACCATTTAAAATGAGCACCCCTTGCTCAATTCAGAGGAAAATAAAAATGATCACTATTTATCAAACACCTATAAGATGTTATATGTAAGCTTTTTTCCCTCCTCTAACTCATATTATAATTTTGTGAGGTTGATAATGCTCTTCCTATTTACAGGAAGAGCTCAGAGGCATAGAGAGGGGAATGGCCTTGCGCATCCACCCACAAAGCAGCAGGTTGGAGTGAAGTCAGGTGTGCTCTGAAACCACGTCTAATCCGGTGCTATGTTCATTCAATAATTTCCTTTATCCCTTTGCCACTTCCCCTGACTTTCTCTTCCTGGGTCATTGAATCATTTGACAGTTTGTATACAAGCACCGCTGGAGAAGGGATAGGTTACCCACTCCAGTATTCTTGGACTTCCCTCATAGCTCAGTTGGTAAAGACTCTGCCTGCAGTGCAGGATACCCGGGTTCAATTCCTGGGTTGGGAAGATCCCCTGGAGGAGGAAATGGCAACCCATTTCAGTATTCTTGCCTGGAAAATCCCATGGACAGAGGAGCCTGCCAGGCTGCAGTCCATGCAGTCACAAGAGTTGGACACAACTTAGCTACTAAGCTACCACCTATAGTCCATGGGGTTGCAAAGAGTCAGGCATGACTGAGCTACTTTCACTGTCACTCCCATATAAGCACTGACCCCAGGGCCTGGAATGGAGAGCAAGGTAAATCTCGCTGGAATGCAGAGTCTGCAGAGCTTAGGAGACAGGCTTGAGCACATCAGTGCAGGGACCCAGTCCAGGGGACTTTCCTCCATCTGGACCACAGACTCAGCCTGGAAATGAACACCCAGAGCTGTCAGTCTATGGATGTCTCTGCTTGAAGCCCTAGAGGTGGCTGGGTGGATGGAAGGCAGCATGGCCAGGAGGGTCAGAGGCTGGTTTCAGAACTGGGCAGGTCTGGACTTTAAACTCTAACACTGCTCAGGAGCTGTGTGGCTCTGGGAAAGTTATGTCATGTCCCTGAACCCATTTTCTCTTTTGTAGAAAGTGTGTGGAGCTATAAGAATCCAACAGCCAGAAGGGGCCATGGAGGCCAGCTTACCCCACCAGGCATTTAGACCTAAAGGAACTAAGGCTCAGAAGCAAGGAATCATTGGTCTGAGACCACTCGACCACTAGGAGCTGGCATTCAGGTCAATGACTAAAAATCTTCACTGAAAAATATGTAACTTCTTGAGATCAAATATTGCTGTTGTTGTTCAGTTGCTAAGTCATGTCTGACTGCAGCACCCTGGGCTTCTCTGTCCTTAACTATCTCCAAGATTTTGTTCAAACTCATGTCCATTGAGTCAGTGATGCCACCCAACCATCTCATCTTCAGTTGCCCCTTCTCTTCCTGCTCTCAATCTTCCCAAGCATCAGGGTCTTTTCCAATGAGTCAGCTCTTTGCATCAGGTAGTCGAAATATTGGAGTTTCAACTTCAGCATCAGTCCTTCTAATGAATATTCAGCATTGATTTCCTTTAGGATTGACTGGTTTGATCTTGCAGTCCAAGGGACTCCCAAGTCTTCTCCAGTGCCACATTTCAAAAGCATCAGTTCTTCAGCATTCAGCCTTCTTTATGGTCCAACTCTCACATCCATACTTGACTACTGGAAAAATCATGGCTTTGACTCAATGAACCTATTGGCAAAGTCATGTCTTTGCTTTTTAAAATGCTTTCTAGGTCTGTAATAGCTTTTCTTCCAAGGAGCAAGTGTCTTTTAATTTCATGTGATAACAATAAAAATCTGTACTGATGCCAAAGTCAGGGTGTGAGGCCTTTAGAGAAGTTTCCTTACCTGCCTCTCTCCTACTGTCTTCTGGGAGGGCTTCCTGTAGCTAATTAGACCAGGACACTGGCAATACCAGGACTCCATTTGGGATCTCATTCTCCCACTAAATTCCCAGTTTCAAGCACATAAAATGGCATAAGGGCATTTTATGTCAAACATGAATGAAGCACACTGGATTAATTGATAAGCTCATATAATGAGATTTTTATTTTTATTTTTATTTTTTTCCTGGTAGGTAAACTTGAATTTATTAAATGTCAAAAATATTTGATTTTTTCAACCATTTAAAGATGCATAACTTTAGTTCACAGACCATGCAAAAACAGGTAGGAGACCAGTTTGCCAAACCCTGGTTCACATCATAGAATAGCATATAAACATGCTTTTTATGGGACTTTCCCGGCAGCCAAGTGGGTTCAATCCCTGGTTGGGGAGCTAAGATCCTGCATGTCTTGTGGCAAGCCATCCCCCCCCCCCCAACAGTTTATTTTAAAAAGGTGCTGCGTTCAGGTACAAGGATGACACATATGTGTACTTCCTGTAACAGTAGGTTTAAGAGCTGCTACTTATAGAGAACAATAAGACAACAAAACTTTAAAAAAGCCAGTTCCTAATTTACTAGCTTCTAGTACTTCTAAGTACTTGGTAGCTAGAGAACATTTCTCTCATTGGACAGCCCTGTGTCCTGACAGGAGTATTTATTCAGTACATCATCACAAACCATCTAATACAATAACAGTTCCAACGTTACATATTTATTACTGGTCATAATGAGATTTTTAAATGAAACCAATAGCAACTGTAAACACTACCCTAGACTGTATTTAATGAGCTTATGTGGGGTTAGGACAGACAAAAATTAAGGTACCTCTTAATTCACAGAGAAGATGAAGGCTGTCAGGTCTGAAAACGCGCCCTCATCTTCAGCATCACCATGAGAGGTTTCCCTGTCCCTGGGTAACTTGGCTTTCTCCCTTTTCTCTCTTACTTCAGCTTCCTCCTCACTTCTCCCAGGTTGCTCCTCCATAGTGATTTCATCTTTTTCCAGTTCCTAACTGGGGATTCTTTAAACAGCAAACCAGTCTATCCATTTTTATGCCTACCATGCGGTAGGCTTGCTGGAAACATGGGTGATATGGCTTCAAATGAGTCCTCCTTCTCAAGGAGGCTGCAGTTAATAATGAAGGGATGGGCAGCTTGCAACAAGTCTCTGATATGTAATCCATCAACACGCAGTCAAAGTGCCAGGAGGAGGACTGAAGCAGAGTCGGGGGACCAGCAGCAGGGGTCTTCTGGTAGCAGTGGTGATGATGCGTGTGTCGGCGGCAATGATGGGGGTGTCGGCGGCAACGATGGGGATGTCGGGAGCATGGCGGTGATGATGGGGAGCATGGCGGCGATGATGGAGAGCACGGTGGCGATGATGGGGAGAATGGTGATGAGGGTGGTAGTAGCACTGGCGGAGCTGGCGGCAGTGGGGGCAACGGAAGTGGCCAGGGTATAGTGGTCAGGGGGAGAGGTGATGGCTACGAGGGTGGGCGTGGAGATGGTGGCGATGGTGGGCGCAGTGGTGGAAGTCTTCGGTTTGGGGGCCAATGAGAAAGTGATATTTAAGTAGAGATCTGAATTGTAAGGAACCACGCCGGTTCAATCTCTGGGTCGGGAAGATCCCCTGGAGGAGGGCATGGCTACTCACTCCAGCATTGCTGCCTGCAGAATCCATGGACAGAGGAGCCTGGTGGGCTACAGTCGTAGGGTTGAAAAGAGTTGGACGTGACTAAAGCGACTTAGCACCACAAATACACAGCCTTACAAAAAAATCTAAGAGGAGAGCATTTCAAATAGGGAAAATGAAAAAGTAAAAGTTGGGGTTTCATTGCCCATCTCCCATTTTGGACACTCTGGGTGACCGTGGTGGCTTACACCATCTCTGCAGCTCCTTGGGGGACTGAGCCAAAGTACCCCCTGTGGGAATCTGGCTGATAAATACTTCCTAATAAATCATTTCCACACGAATACCCCCCAAATCCCTGCAGTCTCCTTCAGTGAACCCTAACCAAAGACAGTGCATATAAATATCTCTTTCAAGGAGTTTTGCTGTAAAGAAAAGAAACTGAGGGTAAGATTATTAAAGTCCCAAAGGCAACTCCAACTCAACATTTCCAAAACTAAATCCATTAATATTTTTCCCCTCAAATTAGCCTCCCTTCCAGTGTTACCCTTCTCAGAGAATGCCTACAGTATTCAACCTGGAAAAAAAGCAAAAGCCTGGGGTAACTCTCAACTTGATTCCAATCAGTCTCCAGATCTGGTTATTTCTGTCTCCTTCATGTGACGCACTTGAGGATCGGTCGGCAAGTGCTTGACCAAGAATAATTTAGGTGTCATTGGTGATGGTGGGAACCAGTGAAGCATGTTTAGCCTTGTTCACCCAAAATAGAACTTATAAAACCATATGCATTCCTTTGGGTTTTGTTCTTGGCAGTCCTTTACAAACTGTGTACATGTGCCTGATGTCAATTTTGTGCAGATTTTTAGCAATAATGAAAAAGGGGAGGGGCTCTCTTCCATGTCCTTGAAGATTGTTGCAAAGGGTGAGAAATTACACAGTTATCGTCCTTCCTTGAGGCGCTCAGGAAACAAACATAATCAGTGGTGAAATTCAATAGAGGCTTAACAAAGAGAAAGGCAATAGGTGAGACTTTGGAGGGGAAATTAATTAAGCCAAACTAAAATTAGTGGTTTTGGGTTTGAGGTTGGGAGGGAGTCTGGGCTATGGAGAACTGGAACAGAGAAAGGAAACATGCTGGCAGGGAGCTGATTCTGGGTCCAAGATTAATTATCATTCAACATCTAATTATGTAGTCTGAATTACAATCCTACCAGCTGAATTCTCTTTCTCTAATACAGGAGATGAGAAGTAGATTTGTTCTAGAAACTTGGGGTCTTTCTTCTAATTTTCACTTAAGGCAGATAATAAGAAAAAAACTCACCTTTGTCTTTTCCTGATGATTATTTATAATTTTTCTCTATTTAAAAGAGCTGGTCCCTTTCAAATTACTTTTTCCTTTCTTGCCAAATAACTGTTTTGCATTCTTGTCATCTGAATATAAAAATGCCAGATGTATTCCTAGTGGGTATATGATTTACACCAGGTGGAATTCTAGATATACACTCCTTATTTGGTTTATTTATACTGCTTACTATCTGCAGGACATTTCTTAAGATACTTCACAGCTGCTAAACGAATGTGATCAAGAGTTAACACTGTTTGGCTTACACTCATCTACTCCTCACACTAATCCTAGGAACTTTGAACTAATATCAGCTCCATTTAATAGATACCGAAACTGGGGTTAGACTGTTGAAGCAACTTCTCTAAAGTCACATGACTAGTAAATTAATGAAACCCAAGATTCAAAACCAGGCTTGTGGGTCTCATCCCACTAACCCACCATCTTCCACATTGATGAAGTCTGAATTTTTGGTCTTGTGTAAACATTTTGATGCTGTTTTCATAAAGAATTACAGCAAAATGAACAATGAGAAGTTTGTCTTCTGCATCTTCTGGCCACTACTAAGAATTGTTTGCTAGCTGTATGTTTGCTCGGGGTAAATCTCAAAACAATTCCAAGTAGGGCACTTGAACTCCATACGTTTCATGTTATAAGCCCATCGTACTTGTCCTGACTCACCTGTCCTCATTCATTCTTACACTTAACCCTATATTTTATGGTTGAGAAAAACTTGATGCATATAGAAATGTTGACAGTGATGATGACAACAGAGAGGTAAATATACAATCTCTGTCCTCAAACAGCTGATGACATAAAGGAGGGCACAAGTTAAGCTCAGAAAATAGCCAAAGACTACTGGAATGTTCCTTAGAATTCACTGTGGTGCAGACTCTAAGAACCTTGCAGTGTGGTCATGTACTTGGAAGACACTTGTACTGTACATAATATGCACCTTGTACTCTTCTGAGCACTCAGGGATATGTTGAGACAAAACTGACATGTTTTCTCAATTCCACTGATATTAATTGAGAGACTGATGTCCCAGGAACATTTCACTCTATTTCTTTGCAGAAATTTGCTTTTGTTGTTTCAAGGAGTGCTTCTAATAGCTCAATTTTAATTATAGCAGTCCTTAAATCCTTCTATGGAAATTACAGCATCTGTGTTACCTTAGTATTAGCATCTATTGATTATCTTTTCACATTCAAGTTGAATTTTTTCTGTTTCTTGGTTTAATGAATATTTTGGAAACTATCATAGGCATATTTTGAGTATTTTAAGACTCTAATTCCTATCTCAATCTTCTATTATATTAGAATCTTAATCAGCTTGGGCTTCTATACCAAAATACCATAAATTGAGTTGCTTAAAATTAACAAGAATTTATTTCTCAGAGTTCTGGAGACTGGAAGTCTGAGATCAGGATGTCAGCATAGCTGGATTCTGGCAGGAGTCCTCTTCTGAGTTGCAGACTGCCAACTTTGACATGGCAGAGCAGAAAGAAAGGAAGCAAGCTCCCTTTCAGCTTTTCTAAGACCCTGATGCTGAAAGATTGAGAGTAAGAGGAGAAGGGGGCAGCGGAGGATGAGATGGCTAGATAACATCACCTACTCAGTGGGCATGAGCTTGAACAAACTCCGGGAGATAGTGAAGGATTGGGAAGCCTGGTGTGCTTCAGTCCATGGGGGTCTCAAAAAGTCAGACACGACTCAACATAGGGCACTAATTCCATTCAGGAGGACTCCATCCTTATGACCTCATCTAAGCCTAGTTACTTTACAGTTGCCCCACCTTCTAATACCATCACATTGGGGGATCATGTTTCAACCTGTGAACTTTCAGCATACACAAATATTTAGTCCATAATGAGTAGGAAATTTGTTTGGGTTTAGAGTTCACTTCCAGGCTCCCTTTTATGGTTTAAATATCAAATTTAGTGCTTACAGTCTATGAAGTGCTATTCTGGTCTGCTTAATTTGTGTGTTACCTAGATGACAGAACTCCACTCCTTGGTGTCCACAGCTCTGCCTAGGAGGAGGAAGATATAACCCAGTTATAGCAGGAGTGGAAATCAGAACCATGGCCAGAGGCTCCACCCAAGAGTAGAGCTTTGTCCTCGAGGTCCCTAGCTAGTCATTCTTCTTTCTCCACCTTCCAGAGTTTCCTACTAAATGACTTATACATAATGTCCAGTTGTTGTTGTTTTGATTAGCAGACAAAGGAAAATGGAATATGTTTCCCACACATTCAGAACCACCAATCCTCCTTTGCTGTAAAGCCTATGATTTTTCCACTATTTCAAATTGTCTCTGGGGCTGTGATATTTGAACCAGTATGTGTCCTGCCCATTTGAAAACTGTATCCTGAGCCTTCAGACACATTCTTTCCATTATTCTTCTTGCCCCTTCAGTTTTCTCATTTTCTCCTACATAACATTATGTCACAGTTACAGCCAATATATTTTCCTTCTTCTCTGTGACTCTTTCATCTCCCCTCATTTCACGCCCCTAAAGAGAGGGACACGACTGTCACCAGATGTCTTCAAGTCACTGATCTGACTAGTTCCCTAATGAATGCAATTGTAGTGTAGTGTCAGGAAGGCACATGGAGGAAGCATTCTTTTCCATACTCCCGAAGCCTGAAGATTTAATGAACAATCCAGGAGGAAGGTGGACTCCCTACGTCTACTTGTCTTCCTTCTTCCTCTTCAGTACATCAGGCCTCATCGACAGTTGATGCTTCCCTGGTAACGAATCTGCCTGCAATGCCGGAGACACAGGTTTGATCACAAGATAAGGAAGATCCCCTGGATAAGGAAATGGCAACCCACTCCAGTATTCTTGCCTGGGGATCCCACAGATAGAGGAGCTTGGCAGGCTACAGTCCATGGGGTCAAAAAGAGTCAGACCCAACTGAGCAACTCACACTAACACACTAACTACTAAGAGAGACTGTAGTGGGAACTGGTCCACTGACCTAGAGTAGGAACATCTCTTTCTCTGACTCTCTTCTTCAATTATCTTACTTTTTTCTGTGAAATTGAAGTGCAGAGAGCTGGATTAATTCTTGGAGGGAAGAAAGTCTTACCATTTCTCTCTTGCTCTTGTTTGCAATCATCCAGATTGTTTTTAACACTCAAGACTAAGCTTTAGGTATCAAAGGAAGTAAAATAGAGCTGGACAACTAATGGAGTATTGAGTTTCCCAGTGGTCCAGTCCAGGGTCCCTGTTAAATGCATTGGATATTAGGAGTTTAATCCTAGCTCCACCCTAACTCTTAGCAATGGTCCAACTCTAGCCAGCCTGTGTGTGTGTGCATGTGCTTGTATGTGCACCCTCATATCTGCCATTGGAAGAATGGGTTCAATCAGCTGAATCCATAAAGGGGTAGATAGGTAACAGAGACTGTATCAGAACATTCAAAGCAAGAGCATTCTCTAAAGCTCTTAACTGATTAGAGTCTCCTGTTATTAAGCCCCAGTTTCCCA